CAAATTCAGTTCTCACACGAGAAAAGAAAAACAGAGCCCTCACTGCCACTATGATGAGTTTTAACAACCCATTCACCGATAACTGTGTGAAGAGTAGCATGGTGATCATGCTCCAGAAGTTTGCTAAAGAGGAAGAAAAAGTACTGGGTCAAATGAGCATAAAAAAGCCAAGGTAGACGCAGCAACGACACAGAAGACATGGCAAGACTGCTGAAGAGAAGGTAGCATTTTTAGATGCAATGACAGCTGTCCTACTACAGAAAAGCCAGACAGCAAGAAGAACTGCAACCAAGTGGCTGGCCAGTTCACCAAATATGTTCTGGAGAACGCGGATGATGTGCTCTGCATTTTCGACTGCTCTGATGTACCTATATCAGTGGAGATGATCACTCATAAGAGAAGCCAAGGAAGCCATCCAGTAATATCCTATCACAAATTGTAGAAAAACAAACAAAGTAAAGGTATCCATGAATCGAATCATGTCAGACGTGCAAACGAAGTTGAAACTTACCTGCTACTTGGCAGAGAAGAAGCTGAAGACGACACTTGCAAACGAGAAGCACATGGTAGCAATAAGGGACTTTCAGTGCAGAGTAAATCATAGATACAAGCCTCCTTCAACATATTCAAGAAGATACAAAGATGCTTCTGCATGCAGATGATGGAACAGGCTGTGGGGCTTCCAGCATCACCATTCATTCCTCCAGATACTGACATTGTTTGCTGTATACCCGTCTGTATCTAGAATTATGTAAGGATACCAACTTTGTAATTGTAAATGGTCAGAGACGGTGCGTCATCCCTTTGAGACACATCTATAAAATCTTTGGACCTACTAATCTAGCCTCCTCGACGGGATTTTAAGCCGCAAGTGGTGCTGACAATACGTGCAGTTTTATTGGAAAGGGAGAATTGGATTCCTGAAGGGCTTCCAATATGCTAACGATGACAGCATACTTGCATTTGAAGTCTATGGACATCCCCACTGCCTACTGATGCTGAAATCGACCTTCTCGTCTGTAGTTTGCACCTACATAAAAATTTAGACCTCAAATGTGTTGCAGTTGTCGCTGTTCATAGAGTGTACACGATCTGAAAGGCTAACACATATATGTTGCACTACATTATGCAAGTATACGGACTTGCTAGCAGTCCATTATCTGGAACAATGACATCTTGGAAAATCATAAGAACCCGTGACCAAAAAAATCCGGCTAACGCGTGGCTGTACCAAGACGATGCGCTAGAGAACAAGGTGCACCCGTCGAAACCTAGAGTTCATCTGCACTGATATCTGTGGCTATTCCGACATTGTGAGGCGTATGACAACATGAAACAAGGTAACCCTGTGAATGAGGAGGAGGAGGAGGAAGGAGAAATCATATGCTCTTGCGTACTATCTGGAGTACTTGCTAATGTGGACATTGCTTGTGTGGTAGCAATATACTCTTACTTCTTAAACCATTAGCAAATCTACGTTTCACTTTAATGCTGTTACATAAATCGAATTAAAACATATCTAGGTCTTTACAAATCATCATTTAATGCAATCAATAAACAACGTGAATATGAAAGTGATAGCATTTGTTAGAAATCGTTTTTGCTAAATTCTCGGCTTAGGTTAAATGATGTGAAGGCATATATGATCACCCTGATTGTGTCTCTCATTAAGAAATTTAAACCTGATTTGCTTTCATCACAACATTCTCACGGGATTACAGGAATAAATGTTTACAGTTTTGTAACATTCAAGACAACCACTAAAAGGAATTCGATATTTAATAGCGTTCTTCATATCTTTGAGATGACATATAAAGATTTTAATTAAAAAAACAAAAAGAAAACCAAGTGCAGGCTAATATTTTAGAGCACAAAAGCAGCAGCTATAATAGAACTAAGTAACAGATTAAGATTATTTTGTAGGATCTCTCTAATCATAAAACAAGCCCATATTGCAAACACAAAGTGGCTACAAGATATCGATAAATGCCAAGTTTTTGTGTTGTAGTTTTTCAACATATTGCATTTTGTTTTAGCATTTAGCATATTGTCTTCTAAATACATTTTATAATAACAAAACGTTCATCACTTGTCTTGTGCTGGATAGAAAACAACAGCTTCAGATATATCACTTTAGGTGTAATTTCAGCGTTAAAGGAAACAAGTATTAATGCATGGTAAAGGATACGAACATGCAAAACTGATCTACAGTGTACATTAAACGCGATCAGATAGCAAAACTTTCATATTATGATGATGATATTAGGAAATGATTAATAACATGAAATATTTGTATGTTATGCACAAATTATTTAGTTCTAAAATATTCTGGGTTTATTTTAAACTTGAATACTTTTTCCAGTACTATAAGATCGTTGTCTAATTTAGGAAAGGTACAACCATGTCAATGTAAGCCATTCCTTACACCCATATTTAGGTTGCTGGAAGCAAAATAGATGGATAACAATAAATAAATGTTAAGAATAGCCACTCCTCTCTGCCATAACGGATTATGGAACATAAAGAATTCATGATCAATAAATGTACAAGCAATTATATCTACAGACAGGCAAACCGATCGTCGGAAGCATTGAGGTCTTCCAAAATATTATATTTTGTCTTCACAGAAGTAATCAATACTAACTTCTGGGACTAATTTCTGAAAAGTACACGATACTCATACTAATTTCCGAAAAGTACATGATACTCATACTAATTTCTAAAATGTAATTGACAATCATACTATTTCTGAAAGGTACAAGATGCTAATTCTAATATCTCAAAAGTGCACAATAGTTATACTAATTTCTGACAAGTACACAATATTCATACCAATTTCTGAAAAGTACACGATACACATACTAATTTATGAAAAGTACACGATACTTATACTAATGTCTGAAAAGTACACGATACTTATACTAATTTCTGAAAAGTACACGATACTTATACTAATTTCTGAAAAGTACACGATACTCAAACTAATTTCTGAAAAGTACATAATACTCATGTTAATTTCTGAAAAGTACACGATACTCATACTAATTTCTGAAAAGTACATGATATTCATACTAATTTATGAAATATAATTGATAATCATTCTAATTTCTGACAGGTACACGATGCTCATACTAATATCTGAAAAATACACAATATTCATACTAATATCTGAAAAATACACAATATTCATACTGATTTCTGAATAGTACACGATACTCATACTAATTTATGAAAAGTACACGATACTTATACTAATTTCTGAAAAATACACAATATTCATACTAATTTCTGAAAAGTACACGATGCTCATACCATTTTCTGAAATGTACACGATACTCATACCTTTTTCTGAAAAGTACACGATACTCATACTAATTTCTGAAAAGTACACGATACTCATACTAATTTCTGAAAAGTACACAATACTCATACTAATTTCTGAAATGTAATTGATACTCATGCGAATTTCTGAAAAATAATCGATTCCAAGAAAGTATCCGTCTCTATAAATCAAGGTTAAAATACGTGCTTGAAGATCACTGAAAAACTATTTGAATCACAGAACAATATTATCCAAAGCCCGTGAATAAAACAAAGCATATAGTAAGTTTCTTTCTTGTCTATTCTTTCAATAATCAAGTAAATATTTTTTGATGTTTCTTAAAACAAAATAACTATAAATGCTCTAATTTTAAAGAAGCAGCTAACAGCATGTCTTCCACAATGATTATCAGTCGTCATTTAGTGACTTCACTTGACAAGAGCCTTTAGTATAAACTAATAGAATCTAATTTGAAATTGATAACGATCTAGTCCTGCTGAAGTCAAGCCCCCCACCACCCCCATTAAACATTAGAGCCATACACAATGCATTCTTTTGAAGCTGGGGCCTCTATATGTTTATGTAAGCGTCGAGCTCTCAAATCATGCCATCAAAATGGCGTATGCGAAGTTTATAATCATTTCAAATTCAACGAAAATGAAGACCAGTGTTCACAAGAATGATTTGAATAAATATCATGTCCTGATGCTGATTCTATTTCGTGATTCTACATTATCCACCATTTTTATGTATCAATAAATGTTAAGGATTTTTAATTCAAAGGATTGGAATTACATAAATTCAATTCAATTTGGACCTTGCTACATGATGACTAAATAATATTGATAATGGGGGTTTGTGTGAATTATCGAGTTTTATGTATTTTTTTTTCCAGTTTTTTTATTTTAACGCGTTCTCAAGCAAATTTGGAAAGAAACAGACCTATAAAGTTGTCGACTGGAACAAATTGCAATCTGAATATATGAATATTTATTGTGGGTATGGTGCATGTTCAACAAACCTTCATGTACACGGATCTTTATATTTTTATTACCAGCACTTAATAAGATGATGAACACTATCACATCTTCGTTGCTAACTCTACCGATGTTTATGTTTATTAAATTTGGAATGGTCGTGCCCCTACATCAGATTAACGCGTCTACCTTTACAGGTCATACTGCTGGGGAACCCGTTTGTATGTATTATTTCCATACTCACAATATCGGCGACGTGTTTATGGCCGCTGATGGATGCAACAAGTGCCTGTGTACTGAGCGAGGGATGCAATGCACGGGAAAAGCATGCAACGCCTCGGGATTCGGTGAGTTTTGCATTAGAAAGGGACTGTATTGCAATATTAGCATGCGAAAAGATGGGAATTAGACGCAGACTGTAATTTATACTTACCAGATTACCGAAGTTTTTTAAAGTGTGTGTGTGTGTGTGTGTGTGTGTGTGTGTGTAATTTAGATTTTTAACGTAGCTGTAACAATTTTCCAGTTATATTGCAACGATGTCAACAGTGTGGCAGTTTATAGTGACGTCTAGTACTGTGGCATCATGCCGCCGACCTGTTACATCACGTCATACCCAGTCTTATTATCCTGACACTAACCTCTTAATGCTGATCGCCAAGCAAGGCAGCTGTCTATACCATTTCAAAAAGTCTTTGGTATGACTCAACCAGGATTAGAACCCGGGACATCCCGCATCTGAGGCGGACGCTCTAACCAATTAGACCACCGGAGCAGTCAGGTTAAGTTTTAAAGCCTTCGACTTACAATCACATATTTTTTCTTCAGATATAACTAAAACTGAATCTATGAGAGGCCGAATATTCATTTGTGCAATATGCTATTACATAAATTGAGAAATTTTGTAAATTTTGTAAGTACACCAAAAAAAAAATCCACTTAAAATATGATACGTTTGCAGAGACCAAAACTTATTAAATAAACTGCGAAAACAATTTGTCAATAATATATGAAATTATGGCACGTATCAAAAAGATCATATGTTGTTTGTGATACATTTTAAACATATATCGTTGCAAGGTGAGGCAAAATAAATATGTATTAAGGTGGGACAAAAATTAGATCATCCTAAATATTTTTAAAATTTCAAAATTAAGACATTGTTCTACTTCTGCTTTACAGGCATTTAATTGTCGTCTGCTCTAAATTGATATAGCTTCGTTTTTAATTGACTCAACTTGTATGCGATATTCAGAAGCATTTATTACCGTTTTTGGATAATATGATTTTATGGTCTCTTGCAAGAGCACGTAATGTCGGAATGTCATATATCAAGACCCTTATCACCACCGAAATGTTATTACATTCATAGCATATCTCAGTTAACCAAATTTTGGCAATGCCACATGCAGTTGAGGCCAAATTTCTAATGTAGTCAAAATTTCGCAAAATTCATAAAGAATCGTACTGTTGCAAGTGTTGGACGTTTTCCAGTGTCATACAACCGAATCATTCGCTCAACATTCTAGGCATAAAATCATTAAATGGAATAGCTAGGACCCCTACACATCATATAAGCAAGGTTTATAAATATTCCGTTTACAAACCTTTTGTTTGAGGTTATGTAACACACCTAGGGTATGAGCTATCTGTAGCTACGTCTCCTTCTCTGGACTAAGTTTGAAAGTAGCATCGCTATAATATATTCATATTTCAGATCTAATATGGAATTTATACATGCATCTTAACCTTTTAAAAAATGTCACACAACATTAAAGGATCTTTCTAAACGTAGTGATCATATAGGGCTCCACGAAATTTAAAACTGACATGTTGTATGCCATCTTTTAAATACGCTTAAATCAATAGCTGTAATCTCTAATCCTGAGACACTGTATACAAATTCTCGATTGGTGATAATTTAGTTAATTATTCCTTTTAAAGTTAACCGCTCAGGTGATATAGTGGTTAGAGCGTGCGCCTCAGATGTGGGAGGTCGTGGGTTTGAATCCCGGCCGAGTCACACCAAAGACTTCATAAATGGTACTAACAGCTGCCTCGCTTGGCGCTTAGCATTAAGAGGTTAGTGTTAGGACTGGTTGGCCTGCTTTCAGGATAATGTGACTGGGTGGGACATGATGCCCCAGTGTTAGACACACTATAGACTGTCACACTGCAGACATTGTAGCGATATGACTGATTGTTAATTGTTAAAGCTACGTTAAAAATCTAAATCACACACACGCGCGCACGCACATACACACAAACAATTTAAAGTTCTCCATGAAAGTATGGATAACATTTCTCGCAGAATGGGGTTTTATGTTTTAAAAATGGCTTTTGGCTTCCGTGAATTTGTCGTCACTGAGATTCTTTTTGTTGGTCGAAGCTCCTCACACATACTCTTTGCGATTATTTTTGTTGGTGCAAATGCGCGTAGAACTTTTCAATGCAGTATAGACTTTTCTCTATAACACATTCACATAGTCTTCGTGATCTGATTTGGCATTAACGCAAAATTTTGATAATAGTTTGACTGTGCAGCTTTTGTAATCACTAGAGCTCGATGCCAAACAAATAAACCAGCATAATATAAACAGGGAAGCCAGGACTGATTAAACATACGTCGTTTTACGGGCCACGGAAAAATATACTTTTGGACTATACAATGCTTAACAGGTATTTGATCTGATCCGAATACACTTGGCTCAGTTACAGTGCCTGCCAACTTAAATATAACTACATTTTCTAAGTGGTCCCGGAGACAATGAAGTTTTAATCTACACAGTGATAAACATGAATGTGTTGAATACAGAAGGTTAGACCATACCAACTATTACAACAAAGGTCACATAGTTCTATGCTGAAATGATATAAATAAACTGATGAATAAAAACTGATGAATACAGCACAATTAAAATATCTCTATGAAATTTTTGTGCAGTAATGTTTGCTACGTTGTTAAAACGAAAATATTGTCTTGTATACAAACATATCTAAGGAACTTTTTTTCCAAATATCAACGCTTGAATACCGTACAATAATTTATTTGAATGAAAGGAAATGATCCACATACTGTAATTACTTGTAGAATAACATTTACAAGTTTTATATTTTAAATTTTAATTGTCAACAGTTACAAATTTCATATTTAAACTTTGTCAATTCCAAGTAAAACTAGAAAAAGTGTCCTATAGCTGATATTTAGCAGACGACAACTGTTAAGAAGCCAATACTTACAAGAGCTGTGGTCATATACTGTACGCATATCATAACCATGTCAATACCCGTATGTTACTGTACACATATCATAACCATGTCAATACCGGTACGTTACTGTACACATATCATAACCATGTCAATACCGGTATGTTACTGTACGCATATCATAACCATGTCAATACCGGTACGTTACTGTACACATATCATAACCATGTCAATACCGGTATGTTACTGTACACATATCATAACCATGTCAATACCGGTACGTTACTGTACACATATCATAACCATGTCAATACCGGTATGTTACTGTACACATATCATAACCATGTCAATACCGGTACGTTACTGTACACATATCATAACCATGTCAATACCGGTATGTTACTGTACGCATATCATAACCATGTCAATACCGGTATGTTACTGTACGCATATCATAACCATGTCAATACCGGTATGTTACTGTACACATATCATAACCATGTCAATACCGGTACGTTACTGTACACATATCATAACCATGTCAATACCGGTATGTTACTGTACGCATATCATAACCATGTCAATACCGGTATGTTACTGTACACGTAAAGCCATGTCAATACTGGTATGTTTCTGTACACATATCATAACCATGTCAATACCGGTATGTTACTGTACACATATCATAACCATGTCAATACCGGTATGTTACTGTACACGTAAAGCCATGTCAATACCGGTATGTTTCTGTACACATATCATAACCATGTCAATACTGGTATGTTACTGTACACATATCATAACCATGTCAATACCGGTGTGTTACTATACGCATATCATATTCATAGAAATACCGGTATGGTACTACTACATGCATATCATATAAATACCGGCATGGTACTATACGCATATCATATCCATGTAAATAACGGTATGGTACTATGACACGCATATTATATGAATAGAAATGCCGGTATGGTACCCAATGCACATATCATATCCATATAAATACCGGTATGTTACTATACGCATATCACATCCATGTAAATACCGGTATGGTACTATATGTATATTATATCCATTTACATACCGGTATGGTACTTCTATACGCATCAATAGAAATATCGGTATGGTACTCTAAGCACATATCATTTCCATATAAATACCGATATGGCACTACAATACGCGCATAATATCCATATAAAAACGGATATGGTACTATACCCATATCATCAATAGAAATACCGGAATGATCATAACATATCGAAGGCTACCTGTTCCCTTCTTTCATCAACCATTATGTCCTGAGGTTTCGCTATGCGCTTAAGGTAGGAAGTCTTGTGCCGATCGTGAACAAAGCATATCGCACAATACTCTCGAGTCTCACTTCCGCACCTCGTGAGCAGTACCGTTGACGAACTTTACTTGGGGTTTTGTTAACACCTAAAGGTTTTCTAATGATTCTATCAAGGGACTCTCAAGATTTCACTCCACCAGGTGTAAAGTGCAACTATTAAACAGTTTGTCCGAAAGATTTAACTATACTATCATAGACATCAAGCCCGTCGTTTCTAATAACTTGTAACTGCCATATAAGGTCTTGGCTTCTCATTGTCTCTAGTAATTTCTTTTAGCAAAGTACAATGCCGAGCCTCAAACCAACCATATACTTTTAACAAAGTTTGGGTTTTGCCATTGTGCTTATCTAAGGTAAGTTACATTGCCAAGAAGTATAGCTGAGAATCACATAGCGCGTGCAGTTCGTGTTCACCATATATGGAGGCAATATGACGGCAAAAGAAGAAGCGCTAGATCAGGCATGATATCTGATCATAATTAGAATGCGACCTATTATCCGAAGGTTTATGATCAGTCTTTCTGAGATGGTAACTTGGGTGTGGGTTAGATGCTCTTCGCTAAGAGCCAAACTGCAAGTAAATCTGCCAGGACCAGTTAACTGGATCATGACACATTATTAATAAGTCAACTATTGTCACGCAGCTTTCCACTAAGAACGGTCATACGACAACTCAGATTTTTCAATTAATTGATTGAAGCTATGTTCTGTACAGTCTGAGCGGAAATATGAATCTTCCGACATCCAGGGAAAATCAGTGTGTAGATGGTGAGACTAATAAGAACAGAAGATGGCCATATCTCATTATGGCTGACAGAGACAAGCTTATGGCACATAGTCGAGCACGTTACGAGTAAGGACACAAACCACACGGACATTGGAGTGGCGAGGTGTCGCAGGTGAATTTCATTTCGGCTCACAAAACCGAGATAATTGAACCTTGTTGGGCGCACCATGATTACAGCAGGCCGGGCGATTATATTCATACCTGAAACAAAATTTTCTTAAAGTGTCTTAGTTATATTGGTTTTTGTTAATAATCGACTAGTCATGATCTGAAAGGAAATTTTTAAAACATTCTAACGGACCATATCGACAAATGTGGATGTTCAATGATGTCTGGTGCAATAGTGATAAAATTGTAGCAGAACTGGAACTCGTCCGGAAAATATATAATACATATATAATACAGATTTTGACAATTTGATTGATAAG